ACTCATATGATTAGTTGTTAAAGGATGTGTCGGTTTTTCTTTCCTTCGATGTTGTCGGCCTTGTGGGAAAGTTTCTTTTTTTTTTTTTTTTTTTTTTCTAAATGTTTCGATTTAATAGCCGGGAATTCTAATCTTAAGTTTTATATAAACGAACGTTTTGTATAATAAAATCATTATTTAAATCGATTGATATTATCTTTACAAATTTATCATCATGCGTCATGAAAATTTCAGATATCATTTGTGGTTTTTTTGCATAGGGAAAACTTCGGAAAAAACAACCGCAAATAATCAGATACCATAAATAGAATACATCGATCGAATTCAGTCTTTTTTTTATCAAGAAAATTCAAAAGTACGAATAGAATTTCCGTTTTTCTAATAGAAAAATAATTGATTTTCTGACCGAAATTCAACAATGACGTAAAAGCATTGCTATGATCCGGCACTAATATAAAGAGACTTGCGAGATTAAAGTCGATTTAATTTCTTGTTTATACTCTTTTTCTTTCGATATGAAAAGTGTATCCATCAATGTTAAGATTTAATTTGTCAATATTATTTTTAATTCATTTTAAGAACTAAGAAATTTGCTAAAAATATGTTATTATTAGATAATTTTATAGTCGTTTTATAATGATAAATTAAAAAGAAATTTTTGTGTTCGATTAAAAATAGTTCGAGTCATAGACACTTTGATGTCTACATAAAGAACTTTCCAACTTTAAAATTATATGAGTAAGATACTTATATACAATTGTCTTTGAAATACTGATCTTCTTTGTAAGATATAATCAAACTTCTGAACAAAAAACAAAAAAAAAAGAACATCGTGCTGATATTCAAAATAAAAAGTATTCTTTTCGTAATAAAAATCAAAGGCTTAATTCAACTTTTTCATATTCTTTTTAAAATCATGTCGAATACTTTCAGTATTACTTATTCAAAAAAGCATAATCTAAGAAAAAAAAGTCAGATACGTAGAAATTCAGGTTTTTTTTTCCAATTGAGTAATCTTCATTAATAGTTTTCTTTTTTTCTGACATTAAAAAAAACAAAACAAGTGACTATATGAAATTATTCTATCTTACCTTCTTGAAAATGTCGTTCAATCGATGGAATATCATGACTATAAACATAATCACGAAAATTTTTTCCTTGAAAATTCATATCAATTGTTTCACTTTTCATATGACTATAAAAAAATTAACTTCTTATCTTCTTATTCAAAAAAAAAAAAAAACGAATTTACCTTGAATCTAAATTTTCAATATCATAATTTAGATTAATTCGTGATGAAAATTGATCAAAACCAAGTAATGATGGTTTATCAGTTGGATCATTTAATGATGGACGTCGAGCAATACATATTAAAAATGTTTTATCACTACCTAATGAATCACGATGAAGTGCAACAGATATAACCATACGAACATATGGTGTAGAATCTTCAAAACAAAAACAAAAAAGACTGGTTTTGTTTTTATTCTTAAATAAATAGTAGACGAAAGAAAACAGACCATCATTCGTTCGCATACGACAATGAAACGTACGTCCACGTGACTGAATTGTTTGTTGCTCATTATTATTAATCAGTGCAGCTAAACCATCACCTATTATTTTACGACGATAATATTATTTAAATGAATATAAAACAAACAAACAAACAAACAAACAAACCGGCATCTTTTTTTGCCCAAGCCTTATTAAATTCACTAATATCATTCGGGTGTACAAAATAATATAGACTTCTTCCGGCAAGTTCTTCCTTTATAAATACAAAAACAAAAATTATATATTTATAAATAGAAAATTTTTGTTATTTCTTTTATTTTTTAATAATAATATTTACTTGAGAAAATTTTAAATACTGTCCAACATTATCGCTGACAAAATCAAGTTCAGAATTATGATTGACTGTAAAGAAAAACCCATCGAGAGCCTAGAAAAAAAAAAAAAAAAAAACAAATAAAAAAAAATGAAATTCTATTGATTTTATATTGTTTTTATTTTTTGTTTTGTATAACTTAGAATACATATATATTCTAGATTAGGTAATTACCAATCGAATACTCTGTTCAATAAATTGATCGATATTTGTCGATATATTCGGTTCACTTATACCCATAATCAAATTTTTGTCAATTACCATTAATAATAATCTGTTTGATCGAAAAGTAAATGACAGAAGAGGAAAAGAAAAAAAAACCGATTTTCATGTCCTGTTTTTACAAACAATCTTGTAATCATCATCATTATCGATGCAAAAGTGCACAGACAGCTATAAAGACACACACACACACACACACACACACACACACACACACATTATCAACACTGAAGAGAGCAAGGAGAATGTATTTCAAAGGAAAGAAAAGAAAAAAGTAACATGTAGCGGCTGCGAACGCTTTTCCTTTGTCTTACTGTTTCAATCTGCATAATGCATCATCACGCGCAGAGGCATACGTTATAGAGTGTGTAATAATTTTTTTTCATCGTTGTCATCGCTATTCTTTCAACGCACAAAACATCTACAAGATGGTAAAAAAGAAGCAAAAAAAAAAAGAAAAGAAAAGAAAAACTAGTAACATTCGTTCATTGAAAGACTATTCTTCTCAGCTTTTTTTTTTCTTTTCTTTTTCTTCTTCTTCTTCTTTCAACATGTTTATAAGTTGACAGAATCTAAAGACTTAAGATTCACTAATTATTCTGTCTATCTCTTCTTCTTCTTCTTTTTTTTTCTTCTATCTTGAGTAAAAGATAAGATATGCTTCTTTTTGCTATTCGTTAGAAGAAAAAAAAAACAGAAACAAAAATACTAATAAAAATTTAAACATACCTCAAAAAGTAGCGGTCCAAGAGCATCATAAGCCAGTAATGCTGGTCGTGATGATGATACATCTGATTGTTGTATAACAGATGCTGAATCAATTCGTTGTCTATTATTGTTTAATGGTGAACATGCCGGTTTAATAACTGTTGGTGATGATGTTAAACCAATATCATCCATTCGTAGAATATTATTTGAACATTCTATTAATTAGAAAGATAAAAAAAAAAACAAATCTTCTGTTGTTTTTTATCAATGTAAATTCTAACAGAACAGTTTTTCCTACTCATATTTAAGACGAACAAAAAAAAAAGACGAGGGGGGGGGAAAGGAAAGCTGAATAAATGTACTGATGCGTATAAAGGGTATGATACATATAGGATATATTTTTTTGTAATCGGTCAGAGAAAAAAAGAGAAAAAGGTGTAAGGTGAGAGAATATATTAACATAATATAAATTTTTTTTTTGTATATTATAAACTTACATGATTCTCTTTTATATCATTAATAATGTAAAATAATAAAACAAAAAATGACAAATGATAAATAACCCGATATATAACTCGAAATCAGTAAAACACGTAAATACTATAAAAATGATATTTTATTTTTCTTTGATCGTTGATTTTAATCACATATAATTTTTTATGTACAATAAAAAAAAAACAAATTATAATAGTCTAAAGTAAGAAAAAAAAAATAAAAATAAGGAAGTTGTTTTTCAAAAAATTTTTTTATTTTCTTTTTCATCTGAAGCAATGAGTGCATCATCATCATGATCAGCCGACATACACCATTGTATATGATGAATAAGATGAGAATCCTCCTTGAGAAAATATGATATTCATAGGTCGAAATTTTTAACCAATCAAAAAACAAAACGAATTCGTGAATGAATATAAAAGTTAAAAACAATGTTTTATACATGATTTACTGTCTGTATAATTGAGTTTTTTTTAATCATAAACAAACAAAATATATATAATTTTCGTTATTAAATGTTTGAATATTTGGTGATTGAATTAAAATATTTTCTAATTAATCATTTTCTTTTATGGTGATGTACTTTTCGTTGTTTATTTGGATGAAAAAAAGTGATGGAATAATTAGCGGATGCTACGAGACAAACTTTTTACGAGCTTCGAACTGTATCCGGGAATTGTTCTATTAACCGAAAGAGATTTAAAGATGTCGTTCTACGGAATTCTCCTGCAAGATTCTAGTAGCATGAGTAGAATGCGTGTCGTTTCTATACCATCAAATCTCACACCCACACTCAGCTAATTATGTAATCAATGGATAGTACATTCTATATAAGGAAAATAAGATTGGTTTATTTTTGTTGTTTCTATCAATAGTTCTAATAGCAGATGGATTAACGAGTAAATCTTTCCAGTTGTTGTTTTTCGATTTCAATGATTTTTTTTGTCAATAGTGCTCTAATAAAAATCCTAAAAGGATTTGACTAAGTTATTGAATTTCTTTGTTAGTAGTCTCATGTTTTCGGAAAACTCATATTTTCAAAAACTTGAAGTCTCTAGAAAGAAATTTAATTAGATGGAGGATATTTGAGAAGGTTTCCTCGTAAGCAAAATATATAAAACATCTGCTATTTTATATTTTTCGAAGATGAATATTTATTAAATAGTCAGTTTAACTTTTTAGAATTAATCAAAATTCTTTTTTCTGTTTTTATTCTGTTGGAAAGAGCAATGCCTAACAAGGAGGAAAAGCTAGAAATAGGATCCATATTAAAACTTTATCAATATCAACTTTAATAAAATATTTCATATACTTTGCTTACGAAAAGAGTTTTGTTGTGCATTTTTTATTAGCACAAATTGATCGGCAAAAAAGTGTTACTCTTTTTTTTTGTTTTACTAAGAATACAATTTGAATAATTATATTATTTATTAGATAAAACTAGAAAATATGATTTAGAATACAAAAAAAAAAAATATTCTATTCGTCTAAGTTAATAATGATTTGCTTTGAATATTGATGAATGTATTGTTTAATAACTATGTATTCATAAACAATATTCTGATTTTTTTAATTTCATTCAAAAATTCAAATCTAAAATTTATTTATCAAGATTTTGTTGTTTATAGATAATAATCTTAAATGAAAAAATAATTATGAAAAAATTCATTTTCTTAATTTAAAAATAATGTCGGACTTTTGGACTCAATTAATAGAATATACAAATGTAATCGAAAATGAAACACTTGATATTGATAATCCAGAACATCTTTTATCAAAACTTTTAACACATGCTGAACATGAACGTGAATTACTTGAAGCTCAAGTAGGAAAACAACAAAAAGAATTTCGATTTTAATTTATTCATTTATTCTTTTCTTTTTTTTTTGATATAGTTTAATCCAATCTCATCAATAACAAAAGAAAATCTTTCAATAGTATCTCAATTACAAAATGGTATATCAATGGCTAAAAAACTTCTTGAACAACATGAACAACTTCGAATTCAAGAACGTAAATTAGCAATTGAAATTAAATCACATGAAAATAAAGCTGAATTAAATGCACAAGATTTTCGTACAACTGTTAAACGTTTAAATAATACAGCTAGAATTATTGATTATCTTCATTGTCTTGAAACACTTTTAAACTATAGGTATTTCAAATATTCAATAAAAATTATTTAAGAAATTTCATTCTTAGATTTGAACTTCATTTAAACATAAGATATGAAGAGATTAGATTTAAAATTGAATTTTCTGAAGAAGTTTAACTTTTTTAACAGAACGATATGAAAGAAATATTGAAGTGTAGACCTAATATTTCAGATTAGTCTCTTTAATTTTTACTGACTAGAGCTTATCGGATGCAAAACTTTGGATCCGGATCTGAACAACGCTACTAGTTTTGACGAAAATTGTTTAACCTGAATCTGATAGTCGGTTCGAAGATGCGAGATACTTTTTCTATTGTTTGTTTATATTCTGAGATTAACACATCCCATATATTTTTCAAACAATCTTGACGATGAACTTGTAATGATCAAGTCGTAATTGGCTGTCAATTTTAGAGGATGACCTCCTGGATCAGTTTCGCATCCGAACAATAGGAAATTTTCAGACACAGATCTAATCGAGTCCAGGACCAACTGAACGAGTTCTACTACTGACAATATTACACATGATGGAAGTTCTTTCTCCTTTAGTTATAGATCGCTAACATAAGTAATTCATATTGGATACACAAGAAGGTCTCGGTAAGACCAGAAAAATCTAAAAAGCGTGTTTTCCTAGAAGTCGAATTATGACTATTATACTAAATTTTCGATCCAGCTTTAGGTATTTACCAAAAAACCAAATAACGGCATTTCAATCTGAAATTTCTTCTATTAACACGTTAAATGAGAATATCTTGAAAGTTTCAATCGAAAAAAATGTTCCTTTGTCGAGATATTGAATTTTCTAAAACATGGTCGTTTGTCACACAAATCAAGTTTACTTGAAAATTTAATATCTCGACAAATCAACATTCTTTTCAGTTGAAACTTTCAGGATATTCTCATTCGATCTGTTAATAGAGGAAATTTCAGAACAGGATACCGTTATTTGATTTTTGGGTAAATATATAAAGTTAGATCGAAAATTTAGTAAAACAGTCATAAACTCAATTTTAGAGCTTTTCTAATCTTATCGAGACCTCTTTATGAACTCAAATAGCGAGTATCCGTTCGAGTAGTTCTCTCTCAAACCATTTTCAACATCGAATATCAAGTTCAAAGTTTACTTAAATAATAAAACTAATTCATTGGAAATGTGTCACATTTCCTAGTACCTCCTATGGTGTGATAAAAATATAACAGCAAAGTTTATTTTTCCGCATAACAAAATTTTCAATATTATTATCTGACAATAGGAGACACTAATTTTGAAAATTTCATACTTTTACAATGAACTAGTCTTGTTGCAAAATTTGAACTCAAAACTAGAAAATTGATTTCAATGATAATCTACAATTGAGCACAACATTTTATTGAAAGAGCCACGACAGTCTTTCTCTAACGTCAATCGAGCTTACCTAATTCGAGAAGATTCATGTCAACATCGCTTTTTTTTTGTTCATTTTGTCAGATTCCTTCATTAGAAATATTAATACAAAAGTTAAACAATCTATTTCTTACACTTCCATTTTAATTTATATTTAGTTCAGCACTCAAAACATCTCTTTCAACTGAATCACTTGATGAATCATTATCAATCTATACTAAATTAGCACATCTTACTGAACTAGTACATGATACATCAACTGAATATTTACGTTCATATAGTGTTAATCTTACACTTTATTGGTATGAACAATTGAAGACTGTCATTGATTCGTACGTTATGTTTATTCTTTTTTTCATTCTATTTTTTTTTTGTTTCGATAATAGACGTATGGAAAAAATTTTAAACACTATTGAATTTCCATATGTACATAAAGTGCCAGCAAGTCATTTAAATGAATTATTTGATAAAAATCGTGATAAATTAAAACAAGAATTAAATTATTTATTAAAATTACGTTTACCAAATCATATTAAACATAATGATGTACAATCACGTTTACGTTTTATTGGTTGGAAACCAATACCATTATTAATTCAAATCTTATTAAAAGGTTTTATTATTCGTTTTAATTTTCATTTTTATGGTAAACAAAAAACAAATGATCGTCGTAAAGTAAAATAAATTTTTAACATAAAAAAACAAATTTCTTTTTCTTTTTCTTTTTCTAATATTTATTTTCTTATTTCTAGCCTGAATGGTATCTTAATCAAATAATTAGTTGGATTCTTGATCATGATTATTTTCTAATTGAACAATTACAACCATTAATTAATGAATTTTCAGATGTTCCACCTATTAATGTTAAGGTAAGAAGAAAGACAAAAAAAAATTTTTTTTTCTTTTAACAATATATAAATAGGTTGAATTTATTCGTGGTCTTATTGAACTTATTATTGTTAAACTTGATAGTCAAATAACATCAATATTAATTGATACATCATTATTTACACATTATATTGAAGAAATTCTTATTTTTTCACAACGTCTTTTTGTAAAAGATATTGATTATCCACATAATTTACCTAATTGTATGAATTTATTATGTGATGAAATTGTTTTTGAAAAATGGTTTCAAGTTGAACAAGATGGTTTGTATTAAAAAAGAAAAACGATTATTTTCCTAGAATATCATATAAAATACAAACAAAGAAGTTTAGAAATGAAATATTTTTAATTATTTTTTTCCTTAACAGTAATAATTAGAATAAATCCAAGAAAAGATTTGATCAATTGAATAGGGTTATAGTAATTCCTATTAATAAACAAAAGTCAAAAATATTTCGTTTCTAAACTTTTTGCCTTCACTTTATTCAATATATTGATATTAGTATCTCGAATAGAACAAAGATACTTGAAAAATGAATCTTATTCATTATCTCTTGTTGTCAATTTCATCATTAGATAGGTTTTTATTGACTTAGAAAATAACTACAAGGAAATTTCTATTAGTGAACACGTCCCATTTTGAACAAAGTCTCGGTACTACGAAGCGATTTTTGTTATAAATGTTTCTTTTATAGTTGAACATTTTCCTATTCTGAATTTGAACGTTGTTTTTACAATTCGAATTGTTATTTTAACTTCTTTTAAATGAATACATGGATACTTTTTTCTCTCTCTCTCATCTCTTCATCATTGCTAGCTAATATACTAAAGCCACTGTTCCTTGATTTTTTTATAACAGTAGTGCATATCAGGAAAAAGCAATGATAATAGTTAAATGATTATCGAATAATCCAAAATCAAAGTATTAAATGAAAATTCAAAAATTTTAACGTATTATTGAATTCATTGTACGGCAACGTTTATTAAATCCATATATTTATAGAGAGAGAGAGAGACTAAAATAATAATATAGGACTTTGTGAAATATAGCAAAGTTTTGTATTCTGTCGACAAATTTTTGATGATTTTAAGATTTGGCTTTTTATGTGATTAATTAATTTTCCTTGAAGAAAATACTGTGAATTTCATTTTTTTTCCTCGAGGAAGAGATGAATGCATCTTACTACTGATAAGAATCAGGAAATTTTATGAATATTCCGGAAGTAAAGCAATATTAACCATAGACTAAAATTAACAATGTAACCTAGAATTAGTAATTTATATGACTCTTCGAAATGAATCAGCAGATAATTTACTGCTGGGAGGTTCCTATTAATGAATGATAACTTTTATAAAGTTTAAGTATTAACGAATATATCTTGCTACTATGCTTCAATAAATCACTCGAGGTGGGTGTGATTAGAGATAAGATCCATAGTAACAACTACGCCCACATCCTAATTTTTTCGGATCCGCCTTATGAGTAAAGTTCGAGCTCAAAAGTGATTTTCAAGCGACAAAGGTTCTTTCGTTAGAACTCAGTAGAAATACTAGAGATTTATTTAATAAGAAACAATTACAGTTTTACAGTAGTTTATTTTCCTAGAAAGACAAATTTGAGAATTTCTAATAGACGAACATCTATTTTCAAGAGTAATCATACAGTTCATCAGATTATAATTTCCTTCATTGAAATCGTATTATAAGATCAACAAAAAATAATTATATTGATCAATAGGTCTACTTGATTATAACTAGAAGTTTTAATTAAAAATCAAATTTGCTTAAGTAATATTAATATTTTCTGTTTTCGATTATTGTTCAGCATAGTAGAATAAAAGTTCTAATAAGAAATAAAATCATCAGCTTTGACAATGATTACTTCATCAATCGTATATATTTAGACAGAATGTTTTTTTTTTCCTTTTTAGTTTCTCGTACAAAATTAAACAATATATTTCAATCACCAACAGCACATCAAAGTGTTTATGAACGTATGCTTGAACGAACACCAGATGAAATTAAAATCAGTGAATGTGCTGAAACATTTTTAACACTTCTTCATGCAATGGAAGGTAAGAAAAATAATTCATTATTATTGTCAATCATCTATTAAATAATAATATTTTATTTTTTTAAACAAAATAAAAAAAAAAACAGATCAAATGAAATCTTTTGAAATTAAAATATTAATTTTATTTATTTAGATCGTTATCGTCATGTACCTTATCCATCTTGTAGTCTTCGTTTATTTTCTTTACAAATTGATTTATTTGATGATTTTTTACATGATTTAAAAATTTCTTTAAATATTGAACAACAAGATATTGATCCATTATCAAAACATTTTTGTTCAATACTTAATTCAATTGTTTATATAGCTGATGTTATTCAACAATGGAAAAATCGTTCAGTAAGATTTAATATTTTTTTTTTTTTTGAATTTAAAAGTCTTCTATTAAACGAAACATTAGTTCAAAAGATTCCGTTATCTTTTGAACTATTGAGAAATTATTCATGATTTTTGTGACACTCAATATATACATATATTTTTTTTTCCTTCTAAAGCATTATCAACGTTTACAATATTTCTATGATGAATATAAAATTTTTATTAAAAACTATGGAACAGATAATAATGACGAAGAAAATTTCAATAGAATTGACATTGACTCAACATTAGCTCAACAATTTGATTTAATACAATTAAATAAAGAAACTAATTTTACAGTAGCATCAATATTTGATTATTTACTTGAACAATATCGTGATGATGAAGAAAAAATGTGTAATATTATTGTTAATTATATTGTTAGTTTACTTAAAGCAAAAAGTCGACGATATATCAATGAAAAGTAAAAAAAAAAATTCTTTTTTATTTTTCTTTGTATTTTTTAATATAGATGGTCAACAATGCCAAGTCCAAAAGATTATTTTAATATGAGTATATCATTATCAGCTATTGATATGTTAGTAGAATTACAAACAACTTTTTCTAATTTATCAATAAATCTTTTAAAAAATATTTCAAATGAAATACGTGCTAGAATTATTATGGAATTTGATGGATATTTATTTAGTTGGGTATGAAAAAAAAATTGATATTCACAACAAGAATATTTTATTGAAATTTATTTATTTTTTTTTTTTTCTATAGCTTGTCAATGATCATACATTTAATGAAGGTGGTGCATCACAATTTCTTTTTGATATTAATCAAGGATGGACTCGTATTGCCAATGATCATGTGTCACTATTATTTAATAAGTAAGAGAAATACTTTTTTTTTTTTGGTCATAGTTGAATAGAACTCGTCAAGTGACTTATTAAGACAATGTTTTTGTAGTGAAAAATTAAGTTGAAACAAAAAAACTCAAAATTGAAATACACCAAAATCATCAAGTCTCTGAAATTCTTATACCAAGACTTGATACTTTTGACATATGTCAAGATCTAAATTTTTGAAAGAGAATATTCATTGAGTTTTGTTTTTTGGATTATTCTATTTATTTTTCTGTATACAAATTTTTGTTACTAATAAATTATGTTTTTGATTTTCTTTTGTAGATGTCGTGAATCTGCTTTACTTCTTACAATGCCAATCGGTTCTGCTCTTTTATTAGTTGATGCTTTACAACAAGAATTATCTATGACATCTTTATCAAATGTCTCGTCTAAAGAATCTATAATATCATCTCCATTACCTTCTGCTTTACATGAAATGGGTATTCATCATTTAAGTGAATTCGAAGCTGATCAAATACTTCAACGTCGACTTGATTTAACTAATTGTTAAACAGTTTAAATTTCTCTTTTCTTTTTTTTTTTTGTTTTTCCTAATTTCTCTTTTCTTTATATTTATGCAATAAAACGAGATACTAGTCAAACAATATGAATTAAATCTACACAATGTTTGCCTGAATTAGCAATAGCTAATGTATGAGTAGTTGGTTCATAATCAAGTCCTTGTGGTCCATAGAGCATATCGGATGTTGACAGTTCAATAATACGTATAAATGAACCTTGACGATCAAATACTTGAATTCGATTATTACCCCAATCTGATATAAATATATAACCTCGTTCATAATCAATAGCTAAACCAGTTGGAGCTTGAAATAAACCATTTTTCGTTCCCGCTGAACCAAAACTTGTTACGAATTGTCCATGACGTTCAATATCAAATATTTTTACACAATTATTATAAAAATCCGTTACAATTATATTTCGATCATTATCTGGTTCAGTAAATTTAACATAATGTGGACCAGCAAGTTCATGAAGTTCAGATCCACGTGTACCAAAACGATGTAAAAATAAACCTGATGAATCAAATAAACATATACAATTTGCTTTATTATCAGCTACAACAATTCGTTGTGATTGATTTGATATACAAAGTCCTTTTGGACCTAATAGGGAATGTTGACCGAATTTTTTCAATAATTTTCCATTTTCATTTTCATCAATATTCCAAGTACTAATCCAATGTTGATCATAATCGGCTACAAAACATATTGAACTATTGTTTGATGTATTTGATAAACCAATAGGACGACGAAGTGTTACTGGTTTTGAATTTGTTGGTGACAAAAATCTACCCGTACAAACACCGGTATCTAATGAAAATAGTTGTACATTCTGATTGATTGTATCCGAAACAAGAAGTGTTCGAGTAGGATTCGTTATAATTAATACATCTTGTGGATTATTAAATTGTCCTTTTTGTCGTCCATGTTTTCCAATTATTCGATAATGATCATTATTATTATTATTAATATTATTATTATTATTATTTTCAATTTTCGACGTAGTTTGGATTGTTGTTTTTTTCATAGGTTGTTGGTGTAATGTGGAAGTACTATTGAAAAAATGAATTATGAAATATATTTTCGTTGTTCTTCGTTTTTTTTTTCTTGATTTACCTGCGAGTGACGTATGGTATCGATGTCGATTTAGTCACTATTTAGTATTAAAAAAAAAAAAAAAAACATAGAAAAAGGTAAAAGAGAGTGATGAAGTGCTAAAAGTGTATACACTGACTCACAACATCGAACGTCATCGAGAGATTTTGATATTGTTAAACGACCAAAATGATTAATATTTTCTTCCAATTGTCTTTGTTTAACTGGACAAAACATAAGTGCAAAATCTCCTGAAGAAAAATAAAATTTTGTTTTTATTTTACATTTAAACTTACTATTTTTTGGCGTACGAATCATTGAATTTGAATGAATATTTACTTGTCGGATTAATTGTTGAAAACGTTGATCAAGTCGTGCATGCATTTGTTCAAATATTTCTTCCATTTCATAAATAATATTCGTATTTTTAAGTGTCATTTTAACTAAATAACAAAATATATGCTGTTTCCCTTCTTATTTTTTTTTTAATATTAATCAAATCTAATCGAGTGAGAAATGCACCATCTGACTTATTATTTTTTTGTTATTATTTGTAATAAATATATATTTTTTTCTTCTTCATGAAAAGAAGAAAAGAAAAATTAGGCACAATATTCCATTAACTTTTTTTCGTGATATTCTGAGTGTCAGATGGTTCACTATTATATCAATCTTGTCATTATGAACAATGACAATTGCATGACTTTATATGATCATTGAAATATAATTATAAATTTCTTTTGCGTCAAAATATTATCATCTAATTTGGATGTTAAGAGTATGATCATGACTTAAATCAATGATTAGTTTTGATAATGATGTAATACTTAAGGGTACCCCTCCCCCCCTCTTTTTTAACCCAAAACTCGATTTTGAGCTGAGCCCAAGATATGATAGCCTTAGGTGCCATGTACAGCTAGAGACATTATTCGACTCGAAATGTCTTACTTTTACCTATTTATTAGATCGAGAAAATTTTTTTTTTCATAGTAATCGTATGTAAATTTATTTCTTTTATTTAGCGTTCTGTAAAACAGCGATTTTCTAGATCTTGACACATTACGACCCCCTTTTTAGTTTGTCCGATCGAGCTGAAAATTTCATGACTAATACTTCGAAGTATTCTCCAGAGGTAAAATCAAGCGTTTTCATTTTTGACGTTCCTGCTCGGAGTTACCGGGTCGTGAAAGTCAAGATCTGAAGCACAAACTCAAATCTGGGCGTATTTTTCTTATAAAAAAAAAAGAAAGTGAGATTTTTGGAAATCCTTAAATTTACCTCTGGGGAATAGTGTTAGGTATATATAAACAAAATTTCAGCCCAATCGGACAAACTTTAAGGGGGGTCGTAATGTGTCAAGATGCGAACCTCTGGAAAACCAGAGTTTTCCGGAAAATCCCATAAAAAGTTATTTAAAATTTTTTTTCCTCGGACACATATCTCTTTATTTTTAGTGCTCTATCTGTGCTAAAAATTTCAGCTTGATCGGTTGTACCATCTTCGAGAACCAGCAAGTGTCAAAAAAGAGGGGAGGGGGTACCCTTAAAGAGTATTGTTTTGTTAGAAAACGTTGTTCTCTTTTTCAGACCGTAGGATTTATATTTGGTTATATATCTATATATAAAATAATGCAAGAAAAAATAAAATATGCACGCATTCGCGCCATAAGTTTGTGTTTGTTATATGATGTTTTTTAGAAGGATGTTATAAAACGATAGTCAATTCGATATTTGTCAACACATCAAAATGATCGTATAAATGTCATCTTAGAAAATCTTTTAAATACATTTGCATAAAAATGATGAATTTATTACGTGAGAGTTTTTCTTCGTAGTGCTTTTTTTTTCTTTTTCTTTTACATTAGTCTATTTAATAAGGCGTAACACATATAGATTTTATGTATCTTTAATGAGAACAAAATTTTCTCTTGATTGATACAAAAAACAAAAAACGTGTTTTTTTTTTCTAATATGTATTTACAAAGACGTATAAGGTTTGACATTTTGTACCATTACTTTTATATCGTATACTACAATCAATATATAAAGCAAGACACTATCAATCATATTAATAAGTGTAACAGATTCTCACTATTTTCAAAAAGAAAGGTTTGTTGATGAAGTATTCCCTATCATTCTACACTGATTTTTGGCAAGTATCCTATTCTATTATTGAAATTAAACGATAGAATTTATACTCATTTATATCATAAAAAAGAAGAGACGAATTCTAAAAGAAATTATTCAGTTATACACAGGGGATAGTTTCATATCAACTAATTGAGTAGGTTCCAATCATTCTTGTTTCTTTCAAATGAATAGGATCTAATGAATAATTCTTTTTTTTTGCTTATGAACTTATGTCACAGAACATGTCATTTTATCATATCCATTATATTTGTGATTACTTCATTACGATCCATACAACAAAACTATACAGGTGTACTGAAATGTAGCTATCAAAAACTTCATGCTCGGATAAAATTAGATATTGAATAATCCAGCAGATATTAAAACCTCTGATAAATAAATTTTTTGATTTGATTCTTGCAATTCATTGAGATGGAAATTGTCATACATCTATCTTCTTATCGAAACTTTTTGATAGTAGAAGCGATTTGATAAATTCATAATACAATGAAAAATTGAATGAATACTATTCTTTTGATTGAACTTTTCAAATAAATTGCTTATGTCAATACAATGTAGTCATATAAATAAATATTTAGACACGATTTTATACGATTGTTTCATTTGCAACAGTTTAACTTGACATGGAATGATATTTTCTTCAGATTATTATCATAAGAGATGTATGACTCATTTCGTTTTTACGTTTGTTTTTTCTTTATATTTTGATGCAGTATAATAATTACTATCGCCATATTCACTTGACTGTGTTTTTGTTAATGTACTCTTTCTTTTTAGTACACCTTTCAGAGAGGAAAAAAATTATATTCATTTTCATTTAACAACATTCGTTATCAATATTGTATATATCTTTTCTTCATTTCTATTTCATAGGCAGGCTATACCATAGATCATATAATTTCAATTGATATCATAAACTTTCAATAGTCAATTCATATATATATATATATATTGTTACATTGAATACAATCATAAAGATAATACAATACCAATGGAGGAGGAAAAACTTTGTGCAAAATGTAAAAAAGCTGGATCTGCTGCAAAATGTTATGGATGTCAACAATCATATTGTATTCCACATTTTGTAAAACATCGATTATATCTTGCTAAAAAAATGGATATTATTCATGACATACATGAAAATTTACAAAAATATGTCAATGACAAGGATTTTGAACAATCATTCGTATCGAGTATTTATGCTTGGGAACGAAATGCAATGATAAAAATTCAAAAAATTGCTGAAAAAGCTCGTAGTGATATTCAAGAATTTGTGGAAAAAAGAAAAAATGAAGTTAATATTTCATTAAATAAAATATTTTCAGAAATTGAAACAACTGGAAAATCAGATAATTATACAGAAATTGAAATTGATAAATGGACTAAACAATTATCTGAACTTCGAAATTCACTCGAAAAACTAACGAAGAATATTTCTATTGTCGAAAATAAAAAAGTTTCTTCAATAATTTGTGGAATTAAAGTTATCGAACAACAACAACAGGAAGAACAATCACTATGTTCAACTGTCATACTACAAACAAATAATCATACATCAGAAAATTTAATCGAATCTGGTCAAGAACATTTTGTACCAATATATGGACCATGTAGATTATCCGAAGATAAATCTCTTGTTATACATTCAAGTTATCGTGCTGGATTATCACAAATTAGTGGTTTTAATAATTATTCATCGGGAAAACATTCAATTGTATTTTTAATTGAAAAAAAAGGAATAAAAAATATTTTTTTTGGTATACATTCAGCATCAATAGATATTTCTTCTTCTGAATTTGATCGTTCTATTTATGGATGGTGGAATCTTGATTATGTTATTGTGAATGGTGATAATGTTGATGGTAATAATAAAGAAGAAATAATTCAAACAGGTGATAAAATAACATTAATTCTCGATTGTGATAATCAACAAATACAATTTGAACATCATCGAATTAAAAAACTTGTTCATTTACCTATATTACTTAGTGAATGCCCATTTCCTTGGAAAATACTTATTCGATTGATTAATTCAGGTGATTGTATTCGCATTCTAAGATAACTATATAATAAGTAATTTTATTATTTATTCTTTTTTTTTTTTTTTAATAAAAAATACATTTACAAAAAAGTAATAAATAAATGGAATTTTATCAGATAGAAATTACCGAAAAAATTTTAAACATTAAAAATAAAATAGTCATGTAAAAACAATTGAATTATCAAGAATTTATAAACTAACTGATTACCAATATGAAAGTTAACAATTACATATTAGCATAACCAGTTATCAATTACCCACGTATAGAAAAAGTTGGAACTTAATAAAAGTGAAGAAAGTTGAGTCTACCATTTAAAAGAAGAACGATTGATAGTATTACAAGAAAAATCAATTTCGAGATTTACAAAATATTCCGATAGTCCTTACAATAGGCTTTAAGCTGATATAATTTCTTTTGTTAAAAGATAAAAGTTGGGCTTTTTCGGATGAGTTCTTTCAAGAGATTCACTAGTTGAGGAATATGAACTTGCAGTGTATGGCAACTTTTGTAGCTTTATTGCACGAAGGTTAATTTTTATAAAGATTTCAATGATGTTGATTGAACTCATAGAGCATATTTGAGGTTTGGACTATGGGTCTAATAAATTATCTTTGATTTGTTGATATACAGGTTAGATGTCATTCGATATTTCTTCAACTTTACTTTCTAATGCTTTACGAGAACATTCATTTTGCATTTAATTCCAACATTATTAAAAACTTTAGATAAAAAAAAAGGAATTTTAATTGTTTATTCCATTATATGTTCAATTTATGATTTGTGAACATAAGATTCATACTATAATCATCATTGAGAAGATAGTTGAAAGAGTGTACTCTTACATTTCATCCAATCTGAATGATAAATAATTTTTATTCTTTCAAGCAAAAACTTTAAACGAAATGCTTCTACTACTGTGATCTTTGGCATACTTTGAATAAATAAGGCAATAGATCAATTGACAATGGCGACGCCATTCATTACATTGGGAGTAGAGAAAAAGAAAAAGAATTTAGTTATAAAAATTTTTGTTCTGTCCGTAACTAAGTGATGCTAAGAGACATGAATGGCAGATTGTTAAAATAAAACAAAAAGAAAAAGAAAAGAAATATTCTACATTCAATGATCTTTGCTTCACTCTAAAAATGAATCGAACAAATTCTGGACGTCGTCCTCCACCAGATCCAAATTCGATTGAAGCTAAATATTTGTCAACTAGTGTAGGCAAGTATTAAATTTTTTATTTTTCCTAAATTCTATTTTCTTTTTTTTAATAATTTTGTAAATATAGGACCAGCATTAATTCGTGGTTTAGCTGAAATTGTTGAACGTCGCCCAAATGATCCTATTGAATATTTAGCTACATTTCTCCATAAACAAGTTGAAAATACACGAGCACAAAAAAAAGTAAAAATTTGATATTTTATTTCATTTTTTTTTTCATCTTTTTAACACAGAAAGAAGAAGAAGCAGAACAATTAGAAATTGAACAACAACAAGCTGAAGAAGAAAAACAACATCGTGCTCAACTTAAAAATGAAATTCGAACTTTACGTGAACAAGAAGAAAATGAACGAAAACAACGTGAGGCAGAAGAAAAACGTAAACGAGATGCAGAAGAATTAGCTAAACGGTAAACAAAAAGAATATTATTTCATATATTAAAATACATAATATTAATCTTGTCTGTAGACATAAAGAATTAGCAACCGCACCACCATCATTACCTGCTGTACGTGAAGAAGATGATGTATTTGTTGTTGAATTTGGTGAAACAGAACTTCATCGACGAGCTGCTGTTCAGAGTTAATACGAAAAAAAAAAACTTTCATTTAAATGAAAAATAAAAACATTGATGTTTTTTTTTTGAAATATACTTTAGATGCTAATCTTTCGGAATTACTTCAAGATAATTATCATTCAATTGCATCACGTAATGCTGAAGGAAAAACACCAAGAGATGTTGCTGTTGATGCTGGTCTTCAAGATAATGTTGATCAAATTGGTTTGTATCATTTTTCTTTTCATATAAATAAATAGATATGAAAATTTCTTTTTTGTATTTAGATACTTTTTGTGTTCAATTACTTCAAAATGGAAATACAAAAGCAATTAATGATCTAGTTTTATGTGGTTATACAGAAATACTTAATCAATTAAAAACAATTGAAGATACTGATGAAGATACAAATGATTTTATTAATAATGAAGTTCCTCAATTATTAGTAATGAATATATATATATAAATTTATTAACGTTTTCTTTCTTTTTGTTTTGTGAAACATGATCTAAAAGGACTACTGAAATATGTAGAGTAGAAATTTGCATCCTGTCAACAGACTATGACAGGAAGAAGGAAGAATACTCCTATCTTGTGGTACAAGGTGCTGCCTACCATCACATTCAGTAGCCCGATATCTTTCCTTCAACTGATTTTAGCTGTAGCTTTGAACAGAAGGCCAGTCTGACATAGAGTTCTTGCACTTTATTGCTTGAACTTCCCCATACATACTAACTAATTACACTCTACTCACAAGAGCAGATATATGTCACAACGTAATCAGCATGCTACCAGACGAATCATTCGATGGCTGTTGGTGCTGAGGTTTGAACATAGTACCTTGTGAATATGTGTCGAACAATGTAGTTACTTGGCCATGGCATCTGATCTTGACAGACACTAGCCAGAGACCATAAGCCTTGTTGATATACGATCAAAGACCGTATATCAATAACGTCTCATTATAAAATATGAACTGCTACCTTATTCAATTGCTAGAGGATTAGGTAAAATGAGAGTGAAGAAATGTAGACAGAATAAAACAATCTCCCTGTGATTAACAACAACAGTTAGAATATGTTTCACATTTTAATCCCACAGAGATTGCACTAACAACCTTTTCTTTTGTTTTATTTTAGGAAAAAATCAAACAATTACATCAAGCAATTAAAGATGGAGATACAGAAACAGTTGATACAATGGTATCTGATCGTAAAAATATTGCACTTTATCGAGATGCTGAAGGTTCATCATCATTACATGATGCTATTGAAAATCGTCAATATAATATAGCATTAAATCTTTTACAAAAATATCCATCATTAGCACTTATTAAAGATATTGTAAGTAGAAGATAAAAATATTGATTAATATGAAATAAATTTATTTGAAATTTTTAGCGTGATCGAACAAGTCTTGATTTACTTAATTCAATTGATGAAGATACAATAACAGATGATCAACGTGATATATATGATCAACTTAAAGAAACATTAATATCAACATCAGCAGGTCAACAAATGGATTAAGAAGAACTATGTTTATTTATTTCATGAATTTTTTCCTTCTTCTTCTTTTTTTTTTCTTTTCACATTAAAAAAAAAACAACCTTGTATCTGAATTGACACAGACATGATGAGCAAAAGCTCATGCAAGTATATAGAAAAAAATGAACAATAACACAAACAAAAAGATTACATAGATTTAATTGCCTGTTAGTTTTGGTACGAATATAAAAGCAAGTAGACCACCAAGTACAATTGCAGATATTGAGGCAATTATTACAACCATACAATATTCTAAAATAAATAAACAAGAATTCGGTTTTTTTTTAAGATTAATATCGTAGTGAATAAAAAGAAATAATAGGTCTCATTCTTAATATCTGTTAAGCTATCATGACGGATGGACTAGAACAGTCAAATATATGAAAAGGCTTAGTAGACATGAAAATATATTAGGAAAGTTTTTCAAAATACGCAAATCCAACATATCGTAATCAATTATTGAACAAGAGAAATAATTAGAAGTGCACCATTGTACACATCTGTAGACAAGCTTTTCTAAATTTATTACTTTTTGTTTGCTCTAATAAGAATTTATCATTAATTGAATCTGATAAGGTAGCTAAATATCTATTTCGATACTTAAAACATCAATCCTTCAAAGAAATTTCATCATATACACTTGCGAAAAAGTTATCTAACCACTGAAGATAATATATAACTCTTCTCAGGAAGGTAAAGTAGAAATGAAATAGATTATCGCATTGTTTTTGTGTAATAAATGTGAACAATATGAATAACCATGTAAATAGGAGCAGTGCATAATATTGGGAAAGAGTTCTTCTCAATACTGTAGATGTAGAAGTGAATTAACCATTGCAACTCTCTGTCAAATCTTCATCATTGGATTCCAACCAAATTTAGAGATTAGCCAAGATATTAGAATTCTTTTATCCAACTTATTTTTTTGTCTTCTAGTGAAATTTCAAATGTAGGATATTCGATTGCACATGCTGACCGTAGGAGTTCGGTTTTATCGAGATTTGTTAATTGAATAGGAAGAGTCGAATAAAACGAATCAAAGAATGATTTTAATCTATACTCTAAATATAGACATTTATTCCTCTTGTTACAATCGCTGATAAATCATTAGCGAACATAAAACTTGAATAAAAATTTAAGAAATTTATCAAATCAAAATGATAAGTAATAAATAGAGTAAGCGTAAATATTGATCTTTGGAAAATCTCCTGCTGATGAAATAGAAAAACCATCTAGATTCCATTCCGTTAATTTCAATAAAAATTCTTCGATTTATAAGTCAATCTTCTATCCATTTAAGCTAATTTATCTATTGAAAAATAGATATTAACAAAGAATGAATGATTCTTCAAAGCAATTTAGTTTTACAAAATATCTTTGAAATCTTTTTCTTGACAATTTTGATTTCTCATCATTATCTTTTACGAATAAAAAAGCATAAATTTATCGTTATGTTTCTGAATGTGGTAATTTACTTTTCGTTCAATATATAATTTTTGATAATTAATAAACAAGATTACTATTAATCTTATGATCTCTATAAGCAACTGTTCCAATAGTATTCGATATATTCAAAAAATTAGTGATCAACTAATAGTGACAGATCTACATAGATTTAAAAATAATTTTTTTCCATTACAGTGAAATGCAGTTCAATCTACAAACGAAAGCTCATCGAAAACAAGATTGAGCAGCATAACTAGCTATTCATAGAATAACTATAACCTAGAAAATTACAGAAAGTACCAAATTTTCTGGTATATAATTGTGTCTGCAATATTTGATGTATGAAAAATTTTTCAAAGATCTATTTGTTTTTCGTGATTGACTATACATAATTCTCAATTAAAGAGTGATCAGAAAGCTTTTAGACAGCATATTTGTTCATTTCTTTTGACATATTTCTAAGGTAGCTTCTGATCTACGAGCTGATATATAAACAAAGATTTCAACTTTTAATTTCGAATCGCAATAGTGAAATACAAAAATTTTTTTCTTTTTTTTTTAGAAAACTTACTATCTTCCCAAAAGAATTTATCATGCATTTTATGTGCCATATTTTTCATTTTTTCAGCATCACGAAATAAATCTGTTGATCTCATATCAAGTTCTTCAAGACGAAGATTTCTAACTAAAGTTTTTTCATATGTATCTGTTATTATATTCATTAATCTATCAACTTTATTTTGTGCATTTATTATTTGTTGTTCATCAACAGGTGTTGGTATTTGTTTAAAATATTCTCCTCGTTTATCACCACTACCATCATTTGTATATGTCATATTATTAGATAATTGATTAGATTCATTTATTGGCATTTCTATCTGTTGTTGTTCTCGTCTATGATTATCATAATGATTAAATAGATTAACAACATATGAATGTTTTTTATATTTTTTAAATTGATTTTTTTTTCGTAATCGAAGACGAAAACAGAATTTCATCGATCATCCGTCATGTCAATTCACTAATATATATATATATGTATATACATAATATACAGAGTTAAATAGCCTTGTGCGCGCCTCTTACGTATCTTTATTCCCGCTTTATTCTTTTTTTTTTTTTACTTTGAAAATAAATTACGTACATACTTTCTTTTCATTTGTTTTCTATGTTCACATTATTATCATCATCAGGTGCTTGATTTCCTCGAAAGAAGCTTTACTTTAGGATCAATGAAAAGAAAAAAAAAGAAAGAAATCTCTAAAGGCCATCTAATAAGACATTCAATGATAAAGGATTGATAAAAGAGAAAAAAAAGAAAAGAATTTATCGTTTTGTCAGTTTTGAAGAAATGAATGAAAGTGAACTTCGAAGTGAAGATTCTCTTCAATCAGTTAAATATTTAGGTAAAGAACGTTCATTATATGCTCGTGGAATAGGTATAGCAAATGTAAGTAAAAATTTCCTATGAATTTAATCTATATTTCTTCTGTTTTTTTTTTATGCAAGGAACCTGTACGTATTGTATGGACACGTTCAAAACAAGGTTCACAGTATAATCGTTGTGCTATATCAATAGATCGATTTGGTTTATGTATATATGAAGAAATAGCTAATGAAACATATAAAAATGTTTGGTGTGATGCTATTGAAAATATATCATATTGTGTTGCTGAACCAGTACATCGTCGTATATTTGCATGGATTGCTCGTTCACAATATTCCAATGAACTTGATTGTCATGTTGTACTTTGTAAAACAAGTAAACAATCATGTTTACTTGCTGACTTATTAGCAAAAATATTCTATGAAACATATCATTGTGGACAAAAACGAATTACTAATTTAACACCAAAGTTATTAGATCGTTGTTCTGTATGTGATACTATGAATCGACAACAACAATTAAATAATCGTTTATTGTTAAATCGAAATTATTCTCATCGACCATATTATAATAATCATATTGAAGAAAGACAAGAAAATGAGAATTATGAACATAAATCATGTCATGAATCTATGATTGCACGAGCTTTTGTAAGAAATTATGAAGAAAATTCAATTAATAGCAGTAGACGTCAAAGTATTGATTTTGATTCAATATTATCTGATAAAAAATCAATTAAACCAGTTGAATATTATCGAAGATAGATATTTTTACAATGAATAAAATCTATTACAAGATGTTGATTTATGTATTAGAACCAAGGGCAAAATCGAGCATAGATATTAACGTATTCTTAAGCCCATATGACATTTTTCTCATCGGTTCTTCATTTTTTTTTTGTTTTATATTGTTCTTATACTCGAAATGAATGAATATGTATATATATATATATGTCAAAACACCTGTGCAAAATAAAATACCTACATAAGCTGAATTGATATTTTAAATAAATAAATCAAAATTAGGTTTTTCTTTTATATAGAACAAAAGTGTATAAGATAATTGAATGACGTTCAAAAAAAAATTCAAATCTCATATAGGGTAAAACCTAATATATTAAATGACAACATCAGGAATTTTGATTAAATTAATATGTTGAATGTTTGGTTACTATCTTAAATTGATGATCATTTTCATTATTCAATGTTTTTGTTTGAAAATTTTTTGAAAATCTTTTCTAAATTTTCATATTGCGTATAAATATAAAAAAAAGAAAATTGTATAGAACCTTGTATTTCTTTCTTGTTGTTATTAATAAGTTTGAATGTACTAAAAAAAAATATAACAGTTCCATCATTTATTCATAAAGACCAATAATAATTTATTAATTTTGATTGATTACATTCTGACAATTCATTATTCCTTATTTACTATGAAAAAAAAAAATATTTTTTTTAAGTGTGCGTGCTGTAGACAAGAGTGAATTGCAAATTCTTGGTACACTTGAAATTTCAGCTGTATTTTCCTAATAACTTTTCTTCTTATCGAATGATTTGGAGAATTTTTTTAAATGTTACTCGTCTCTCGGAATGTCTCACACCCACACCGAATTCCAGCTCTCTTGCTCCTATTGCCACTGACTTATGGAACTCTTTTTGCGAAAAGAGTTCTGTTTTGTAGAGAGATGTGCTAAGACAACGCATAGCCCATTCTATACAATCTAAAATATACTTTCGAAAGACATATCTTTCTATGGCCATTCGCCCTAAAGGCTTTATGAAAGACACTTGCTCATTTTCGTGTAGAACGATAATATTATTTTTCAATTTTCTTCGTCTGGTCACGAATGAATGGAAAGCGAAGGTATTCAAAAGAGAGATTGTTTTGTGGCGAACAAATTAATTAAAGAAAAATCCTGTCTTGAACGACTATCCTTTTTGGTAAAAAGAAAGCGAACTTGACCTAAAATTTCGAGTTTCACTTGCTTTCTAGAACGACATTTTTGGTATGATGTTTGTTTCAAAAGTGGATCAATATGAGTTGTATTTTATACTTATTCGTTTTGTTTCACGATGGAATATTATCCTATTTTTATTCTGAACATAGATTTTGAATTAAAACGTAATTTTATCGCATAGAGTTTGAGTGAAGTGTTGGAGCTTATAGAATGATAATTTTTATTTGACATTTCGAGGAATACCGAGTCGACATCACTTGCAAATCCAAAGAGATGCGGCTACACTCCTTTTTGGGCTTTATAGTTAGATATTGAATCAAGATAATGTAAAGTATCTGAATTAGTTGACGAAGGTTGTTTGTTTGTTTTGAGCTGATAATGTTCATAAGCAAGGGACCAAATTCTGGATGCGACATGTGAACAGCATTCTAGTGAAATCTCTTCAAATAATAGAGATCGAAATGAAGCACCTCTCTGATTCCCATAGATATGATCTATGATAATCAGTATGGTCTTATCGAAATCCGTTAAGCAACTATTTGAAAAGCCCATGTTAGAGCAATTTTTAAGGACATAGTAACGCTTATTTATGTAGAAAAAATGGTGGCCAAGTCTCTTCAAATAGTGGAGATCGAAGGTATACAAGTCAGCCATCAATTACTCTGTACCGTATGTCTCATACACCCTTTACCATATGTATGTTGAAATCAGTAGGATAATCACTATTATAATCAAAACTATTATCTAGGTAGATAATGGAATCAATTGCCTTTCTTATTATATATAATCAGTGCGAGTTTTCTTATGATTTTCAAATAGGACCGATTCTGCTAGGAAATCCACTTCCATTCTTTAATAAAGTCTTATCCTCTTTCTCATCGATCTTAATCATTTAGTTCGTCTATACCTTTCTTCCTCACGTCTCACATCATCTTGTTGATCTTCTTCTCTACTTTCCTGCATCTACACTAATCTTCTTTATCTATTTCATTTGCTGGTTTCGTTTTCACTTTTCCTTCTCATATTACTTGTTTTGCGTCGTTCACTTGCCTCAATTTCACCATTCAATTCGCTTGTGACGTGTTTCTTTTTTCATTTTGTTTATTCGCGTTGACTTCCATTGCCGAATCTTATATCTTTTTATACACTAGATAGACGAACAGTGCACAAATAAAGAATTCAATTTTTATCAGTGTGATAAGCGAAATGGATGCAGTCCTCGTTACCTTTCTTACATTTCTAACGCTTGTCAATGGTCAACTCAGTACGTAGTTGGACTTGCTAGATATTTTTTCATTTCATTTATTGATAATTGCTTAGATTGTTCACTCTACAATCCATGCGGTCACCGTGGTTCTTGTCGGGATAATGCAGCTGGTAAATGGACATGTGAATGTAAATTTTGGTGGGATGGCGCGACCTGCGATATTCGTGAGGATTATTCATGTTTAATGATTGGAACCGAGATTCCTTTTTTTCAGAGACAAGCAGCGGAATACAAGTTATTGCACTCGGTTGTCTTCTGGGCGTGCTCTTGATAATTCATAATGGCTTGATCATTTTTCAAAAAATACGCAATAAGAAACGACAGAAAAAAGAAAAGAATGAGTGAATATTTTCTGATCTTTTTCTTGTCCATTGTTCATGCCGTTTATCTTCTAGGGAAGAGTTGAAAGATTCGAAATTGTTTGATTTAGCCCTGGTCCATGTCAAACGATCGGCTAGTATGACTTCTTGTCTCATTGCAGTACTCATGTTGCTCGTTGCTGCAGGAGCTCTTGTCGCAAAATGGACCATTTTGCGGTCGATTCATGATGAAATGGTATATAGATTCAGAAATAATTTATCACTATACTATGATCCAAATCCACTGTGTCACATCATCAATATTAACAGTGTTAACCGAATCACTTTTCCTGCGGCATGCTTATTAATTGTTATATTTATCATAAAAACGAAACGAACATCATTGCTGCGCAATTATTGCAATGGATACGGAGCACCACCGATACCTACCGATTTTCTTTCTCCCATCCATCGCAAATTTACTGCAGTGATTTTTGCTATTTATGCCGATGAGCTATTTGATATTGTCAGAAACATTTTCAAAGATACAGAAGAAAAAGCAGATGGTGTTATTTTAACTCAGCTACTACATATTTCCCAAGTATTGATTATCGGCATTCATTACTATCCACTTTTAGCTGCTATCCATCTTCATTCGATTTTTACATTAACGTGTGGTACACTTTATGCATGGCTTGACTATTCACTGACCATTGTCAATCAAGGTATGTGTAAATTCGATTACTATCCGATTGCTAATACCTATAAAGATGCGTCCAATGGCAGTAGTCTGATCTATATGCTGAAATACTATGGTACTGGTTCATCGCTAATTGCTATTCAATTATGTACTGATATTCCACGCTACTTATGTTTGGCCTATGTAAGCGTGAAATTACCTGTAATGCTCATCGGAAAACTCTATCGTCGATTAAAAAGAAAAAGATTATCGAAAGAAGAACAATTTCGAATCGAATTAACACAAGAAGAACGTGTACTTCTACGCGCATCGGATTCGAATTCAGCTGAAATGCTGTACGTTCGAAATTTATTTCGTTCGGCCGATAAACGACCACGTAGTGATGCACTTATTGCTCGTCTTATACCAAAATTTATTTATGAATGGCGAGATGATTTTCATTTTTCATCTCGTGTTCTTTGTGTCTATTCATCGATTTGTCTTCTTCTCTTTTTTATTGCCATACATGTATGTATTGAAACTATACCATATTTACATGCATTTCAAGGTACACTTCAACAGTTTGTTCAGCGCATATCGAGTTCAAACAAAGTACATGACAATACTAATGAAGTCAAAGAACAAACATCGTTATTTATCGTGCCACAATTGGTTCGACCATTTATATTAGCAGTAGCAACAACTGCAATAATCATCATCATACATTTGTTAGCATTACTTGTTAATATTCGTCGAAATCTCTTTCAATCATTTCGTGGTGATTGTTGTGAAATACCACGACGGCAACGGTCAAAATATGTTTCCTATGCAACGGGTAATATACATTTTGCCGGATTTTTTATTGGCTATTTTATTTGGGGTCTTATTTTAATTGGAACTTTTTCATGCCTCTTCTGGATAAACATCGAAGCTTTCATCACATATGGTAGTGTTCGATTAGTAGAAATCATTTCCAAACTTGTCATTCCAGTTATTCTATTGTTTTCTTTCAAAAAATATCTGAATAAATTATTATGCCAATATATTTTCCTTCGACATTCTGGTCAAGTACTATCGATTAATAATCGTCGTATATTGATGATTTTTATTTTTTTCAATTTCTTCTTGGATACCTTTGTCGGTTTTATTTCATCAATTCTTCGATTAATTAAAAGTGTCATTGTTGGAATAATTTTCATGTGCCGAATAGATTATTCGCCATTAGGACGTCAATTGGAATCATTTGATGCTGGTTTCAAAGCCTATTGCGGTTTTATTCATACGGAATGTGCTCATCGACATCCAGTCATGTTAGTCTTTGCTTCGCATCTTCTTTCTCAAGTGAAACTTAAACAAGCTGTGGTTCGTCGTACAGCGAATACTTTCAAGGATTTGGCCACTATTGAAAAGAACTCTTCGATGAAGATTATGTCTAATGATGAAGAGAAACGATCTAGACGAGTCATTCGTAAATGGCAATTGGGCGTATTTCTCACTCGTAATCCAATGATTGTCTTCTTTCGAAAGGCGTTTCTCAATCAATTACACATCGATGAAATTCATCTATTGAATGATGTTGATGGTGACATGGACCAGAATAGGAATAGGATGTTGCCTCTAAACACACGTCTCATGTCGGTCCGTAGTCCAAGTATCGCTTCACAAACTGATTTGAAGTTCTTTGAAGTATCTTGATTTTGATATACAAAAGAATTTGTCAAAATGCAAATAGAACCTATAATTGAACTCAATATAGCAAAAATTTTTCTTGAATTTAAAATAAAATGATTTCATTAACAATAAGGTTTTTGATACATGCAGCAGTCCGACTGGTACTCAGTCAGAGTGGGTATCCAGTGGGATCGACATCCAGTCGACTAGTCGGAACTGGGACTGATGTATAACTATATAGAATATGGCGTTCAGGTTTTATCTCAAAGCTATCGCAACACATGAGACAAATAATAACTCAATCTTTTACATCGTGGTTCTAAACAGACATCTATTGAATCAACTATGTATGACTTTTAGTTTTGTAGTTGTTTCAAGAAAGGTAAGGTATACTATTTTCCTTTCCTAATATTTGTATTATGTAATGTACATGAAAGAAAAAAAATGAATACTTTAATCTATATAATCCATATAGCATAAAAACCAGTCAAATTGTTATGAAACATAAGATTAAATGGATTGTGTCGAGTTTCGTTTTTCTGAATTTAATATTTTTCAAGGGTTAATTTCTGCTGATGATATATAGATTATAATACAACAATCCGTTTTCTTGTTTATTTAAAATTAATATTCATGAATGAAATCGTTCGTTTATATATATAAAACACTACCACCATAAATATAATTTCCAATCGAGTTGCTTTAACATACATTTACGAAGTCATGTCTCGGACTCGACAAGCTTGTTCAAATGTCGGAAAGCAATGCTACTCGCTCTTGAAAAACACAATGAGATCAAATGATCAGTATTCTGATTAGTTGTTTCCATTAGGAATCGTACCATCGGTTCTATATCTTTTATCAGTGTATTTATTGTAAGATTTTTCAGCCGTGGACACAAAGCAACAAGCAATTTGACTTTTTCTAATGTACATCTGTTTTTGAAAGTCACATCCGTAATAGTATTTTTACTAGATACTAATCGAAATATTTCACTTTGTTTAACTGATATATAATCATTTTTATACAAGGGCATTGATGTAAACGTCAATGTACGAATATTAGGTATAAAGCGTAATAGTTCGATAATTTTTATAAAAGAAAAATGGTCGCATTAAATGTCTAATTTGGTCAATTGTTTTAAAGGAATAATACGAGCTAGAATGGTCGCAATCGAACTACGACTAGTAGTAAAGTTATCTTTAAAAGAAAGCTTAGTAATATTTGGAAAATAACAGATACAATTGATCAATTCTTTTTCACTTTGGATTTCAACATGATTAACTGACTTTAGATTTGTTTCATAACCACTTAAACAGGTTGTTTTATTTTGATATTTCTGTAATGTGTAAGTCTTTCCTCTAAAAGTAAAGAATAATGCATAATGTATTGAAAAAATCTGATTTGTTTATACCTGTAAGGATTTGTTGAATAGAAGATTGCATAATTACCATATCTTGTTTGATAAAATCGGTATTCAAAAATCCATTGTCGTTCGATCCAAAATGGAGATGTGAACTGATTAATTTGAGCTTCAATATCCAATTGATCATTATTATGATCTATAAAAAACTCGAGCCAAATATCAAAGATGCGTAAATTTGGTAAATGACATAATATTAGTTGTTTCCATCTGTTACTATCTATATATACTATGCCTACAGTAATGCGTAAAACTTGAACGGAAGGAAATATATTTATGATAAGTTGTTCCGATTGATCAAATGTAATGGAAAATAATTTGAGAGAAACATGTGTCAGATGGTTTAATGTACTTGGATATATTTTTGTTTGTTTTCTGTAAGATTCATGTAATGAATAAAACGATAAACGACGAAGTTGAGGCACGTACGATATTAAACTATTAAGTTGCTCGCACCGTACCGTATTGTTGATAATAAGATGTTCAACTGGACTGTATTCATTGGTAGCAACTGGTAGTGGGTCAGGATCAACAGATCCTTTCAATGATAATTTGCAATATTTCAATGCAGGTAGACGAAATATTTGACGATAGATAGCGTTTTTATTAATAACATTATCAATAACAGAAGTAATGATTAATGAAGAACGAAAGGGTGAAGAAGTTAATTGATATAAAAGATTTTCAAGACAATATGATTCAATATTATCAAGAATAAGTGTTTCAAATCGACGAAACTTCAGTATTTTATGAAATAATGGAAAAGCAGAATCATCATAAATAAAAAGATTTGATAAACGAAGTAAATTAATTCGATGTCTATTACGTATAATGATATCTTTGTAATATCGTTGTAAAGCCGATTTGGATATTGATGACATGTTAATTTGAATTAGAAGAGTTGAATTCGTAAGAAGACTATGAAAACGTTGATTAAGATTGAAGAAGGCCTTATATACATGGAAGTAATCGAGAAATTCAAATATCTCATAGATAAGTTCATTAGAAAGATGTTCGATGTATGTTATAATTTCTCTTGATAAACTGGAAAAACACAAAAATTGTTCTAAAGAATATATTCTAACCACTCATCAATTGTTTTCAACTATTGTCACTAGAAAAAAAGAAATGATGATAAAAACAACAATCAGATTTGTCTTTTACCTTGTAGCTTTTTTCTCCTATCGTTTTCATCATCATTATCATAACTATTGCTTCGGTCACATTTGATTTGTTCCATAATGAAATCTAGAATAATAAAATAGATATTTACATACATGTGCCATTTTACGTCAGATATAAACTCAATGCACAGAACAAACATAAAAATGCGATAAGAAAAAAAAATACAGATTGAATGATTCATTTAAAAGGAAGTACACAAATCATCTATGCTAGTGAATTTTACTTGAACTTTCAGTCAGATTTTATATTTACAGACAAACAAATCTAGACATTTTTTAGAGTGTATCATTATAGAATTGCTTGATTAATTTTATTTCAATTTTTAAAATGTTACATGTGCCTGCATTACTATCTATCATAATAAAAATGGAAGCACAATACAAATGAATATAAAAAGAATGCCACAGAAAATTAAAATTTATGTAAAAATAATATTCACAAATAAAATATTTTGTTCACATAAATAAAATACCATCACCATAAATATAATTTTGTACCTGCCAGCTTTAACATATAATCATCAAACAGTATCCTAGACTTGATAAGCGATTCCAAATGTCGAAGATAATTATTATTCGTTGTTGAAAAATACAATGAGATCAAATGACAAGTATTCTAATTAGTTTTTTTCATTAGAAATTGTATCATTAGTTTCATATCTCTCATAACTACATCTATTGTAAGATGTTACTTTGTTGAATTGACATATAATCGTCTTTGTAAAAACATATAGATTCAAATATTAACGTATAGATATTAGGTGTAAATCGTAATATTTCGATTACTTTTTTTAAAAGAAAAATAATGGCATTTAATCATTAATTTAGTCAATTGTTTCAAAGAAATAGCACGAACAAGAATGATCGTAATCGAACGATGAGTAGTAGTAAAGATGTTTTCGAAGGTAAGCTTTGTAGCATTTGAAAAATAGCTCATATAATTGATCATATCTTTTTCACTTCGTATATATACATGATCAACTGATTTCAGATCATTTTCGTAATAGTTTGATTGAATTCTTTCGTCCCATGGTTTATGTAATATTTAATCCTTTCTTCTGAAAATGAAAAATTATATAACTATTGTTACATACTGTAACCAAAAATTTAATCTATAATATCTGTATGGATCTGTTGAATAGAAGTTTGTACTATAACTTCTATATTTATGACGACAATATTAAAGAGCAGAAAACCATTCTTGTTCAGTCCAAAATGGAGATATAAATTGATTGATTAGAGCACCTAAAGTGAGTTGAAATATTATCATTATTATTGTTAATAGACATATTACTTGACCAATGTTCGTGTTGTATGTCAAATATATATTTACTTCTTTTATTTAAGAAAAAAATTGAATAACTTTTGTATGTATTTACATTCTGAAGACGAGACACCGTGATGTTTCGAAACGTTATCGCAAATCTCTATTCTATTATTATTTTTCTGTTTTTTTTTTCAGTATTATTTATATTGTATGTGTGAAGACATAGTTGTTTGTTTAATAAATACAATGACAATCATTCTGACTTGATTTTTGCAATTTTTTAGATGTTTCAAAAACTATCCTGACATAGTTAATATTTTCACCAATGTATAGTATCTGTTTATTATTTCAAATGCTTTCTGTTACTTGTGTATGTAAAATTTTCAAAACATCATGCTTCAATCATCAGTATACTATATCCATCTTCTCAAAAGGCAACATAATTTCTATCTATCTAATATTATATTGCTAATACACCAATGTATCATAAAATTATGGACACTATTCCCTATGACGAGTACGATGGTGTCGTGACCTGTATTATCATCTCCTTACTTCATTAATTATCGTTTTCCTCATATTTATATCTTCCGAATGTAATTGAATTTCAAAATACGAACTTCAGATGTGTACTCATCACATTCTCACCATCTCAGCAAGATTTTTTTTTCGATTTGAAATAATGTTCGACTATGAAGAACAACCGACTAACTTGAATCGTGACTCATGCGTTGCAAAGCGAGCATCGAATCATTAATCGTCATTAACGAGTTTGTACTGAACTGACTTGTTATTGTTTGAATTGAAATTTTTGCTGGCGATTTTCAAGCTTTCCAATTTTTATTTTACATCTTCAATCTTTACCTTAAGTTTTTCATTTCCAATTTACTCATTTTTTGTATTTCTAATTGTAATGCAGAGTCTCCGAAGAGTGTTAATATTTAAATAAATAACATGAAATACGTCGGTGAACTAAATTTCTGTATTATTTATTTAGTTTTCAAGAACAATTTTTCGTTAATTAATTGAAACCTGGGAAAGATCGATTGCTGAATAGCAAGGGCTTGGATTAGCAGATTGACTTGTACCAAAGACATATAGATCAGTCTACTTTTTGATTGATTTACTCTCACCCTCTACAAATTCCCGAAATACTCAATAATTATTCCAAGTTTATAATATAGAAAAACAATCATATTATTTGCGCTTTACTACATATTTCTTATTGGAATTTGTTTCACTAAACATAGGATGTGGATATATAATTTGGTAGACAAACTCTACAATCATTTCTTAAAAGTATCAATAAAATAATTATTGCTGCAGTTGTTTGTTGGATGCTTCAACATTCATTGTAATATTGTTTTTCTTATTCGCAATAGACTAAATCTTTTTATTTGATATCGAATATAGCACTTAATCAATATTTACATTAAAATCAAAAAAATAAAATCATCTTCCACTTATAGTAAGATTACCACAAATACGTAATAAGATTATGATAACTGTGTTTAAAAATAACATATTGCAAAAATGTGGTTCTAATTCACATGCGCAATATTAATATGCCCTATTAAAATAAAACACAAGAACTGAGAGAAAAAACAACAGGTTTTTAATTACTTACTAAGCATTAATGTGACCCAAGACGAATAAAACAAGTATTTTAAACAACTAAGTAACACGAATATGTTGGAAAAGAAACATGTCAATAAATGTAGCCTAAAAAGATAAATAAACAAGCAATTATCTAAATAAATCAATTTACCAGTAGTAGATCTCGGGAGTTTCACCACACACCATTTTGAATTTGACTTCCTGTTTTCTTTTCTAGAGATTTTCCTTGAAAGGTTTGCACTTTTTCTATCTACATCTCTCTTCGAAAATTCCTGGATTCGCCACTGGTCTGCATGGGTTACATCTTATATTATTGAACTCATTTCATTTCGAAAAATTATTCTATTTTTATTACTAATGTTGACTGTGGAATAAAAAGTAGTTTCACAAGTAAAATTTCGGTGAACTCTAACTAACTTTTCCCATTAAAATAACGTTCTTCAAGTTAATGCCTATCCTGAAGTGTAAGGCGTAAAATATTGGAAAATTTGTGCTATGTAAATATTATAAAAAATATTACTCAGAAATTGTTTAGATCTACTTTTAATTTTTTGCATCAATCATGCCACAATAGTTGTAATACATTCATATATACGTTGTCTATCTATTTGTGTTTCTTAAAATCTAATATTATTTTTCTCAATGATTTATTTCATTTCTTCTTTTTTTTCTTCTTACAAATAAAAAAAACAAATAAACAAACAAACAAAATTCCACTAGAAAAAAACAAAAAAGAATCATCTATGAAATGTTTTATCTATGCTTGATGTCGATGATATGATAATGGAACTAATGTTCGTACAAGATTATTTGAAAAAACAAATAACTTTAATCGATTAAATATAATTATAAATGGTATAAGTACACATATATATTGTATCCAACCCCATTTAAATTCTTGCCAAAATCCAGGAGTAAATCGAATTGCTTGTCTTCCAATATTAACAAGAACATTAACTGTTAATATATTATTATTATTATTATTAGATGTTGTTCGAGGTGTTATCCATGTATATTGTGTTTGATATGATGTATAATATTTTCGTGCAAAATATTCATCAAGAATAGAATTAAGATTAGATATTGATGATGAACTTATTGTATCAATTATTGATTTATCATATATTGAATCATTACCTGAACTTTTTATTGTTTGTTGTTGTTCGAATATTAATTGACCATAAATTGTTAGATTTGAATTTGAATTAGAAGTAAATGTTGATGGTGGAATAATATTTATAAGTGCCATTGTTTCCATATTAATACGTTGTTTTTCACGTAATTCATATTGAAATATTAACCAAATATTAATACTACGTATAAGAATATTTGTTTGTGAAAATATTAAATCAAATGAAATACGAAATTGATCATTTAAACCATCACCATCAATATCATATAATGATTCAATTTTATTTCCTGTAATAAGTCTTTCTTGAAAATTTCTATTTAATGTTAAATAAGATGATTGAAAAAAATAATTATTAATTGGTGCATTATTTTCAACTATAAGAATATATTTTGTTTGATTATGAATACGTGGTTGTTCACTATAAATTGATTCTTTTGTCCAAAAATCACCTGTATAATATGTTAATAAAAATGGTGGTAATAATGTTAATGTTGTAAATAAAATAAGAACATATGTTGCACTTGATAATAAATCTGTACGATATGAAAATCGATCCGAATGAGAAAATAATTCAAAGAAATACATTTTTTTTGTTAAAAAATTTTTCTTTTTTTTTTTTTTTTGTTACTCTCAAAATTAAAAATACGAATGAAATCCAAAAAGATAAATAGACGCCATAAG